TATTTTTATTGCATGGTTCTATTAACAAATTTTTCAAAAGATAATTAAATAACAATGGTAGAGGAACTTCCAAAAAGAAATAAATCAAATGAAAGTCCATAAGTTCCATAACCTAATAAAGCTACTCAAAAACCACAAATTCCACAAGAACCACAACTTAATGAACCTACTCAAAAAAACCACAAGTTCCACAAGGACCATGTAACATTCCAAAAATCAACTTTTGAAATCTTTCAAAATCAGAGTATGACATTACCAAAAAGAGGGTTCCATCCATAACAACATAAAACATAGTATTACAAAGACATCGTCAAATGTGGAATGTAAGTTGTTCTTTTTAAACCAGCACATAAAATATAAACGTAAATAGATGTCATGCCTTGAGAATGTCCAACTATATCAATAAAGACGGCTCCTTGCCATTCGAACCTCGAGGACTAGCAACTAAAACACGAAATAATGAGTCTAAGCCTATATCTTAGTAGTATCATAACACTTATCCATTATATAAATCGTATGCATTTTCATATTGCACACATAAACATCAAGTAACCTTCACATATTATTTTACATTAGATTATGACCCGCGTTAAACGCGGGAAACATAAATTAAATACATATTACATTAATATGCGACATTGTCTTAGTTGAAATTCATTAATATGTGACATTTTCTTAGGTGAAATTTTAATAAAAAATATTAGTTAGATTCATTTTTAAACTTGTTGAACCAAACTTATTAAATAAAAATATTTAATATTTATATTAGAGCAATCTGGTTTTTTAATACAGTAATTTTTAGCATAAATGATCCACGTGATCTTTGTTTTATCACAACATGATGCGACTTCTTTATTGAAACATGTTGTGTAGTAGCTTTATTAATTGACTTTTTCCAGTGTACCAACCTCTATGGAGGCTCACATGACTCTTTTCATATTGACCCTGTAAAACCAAAAGCAACAATAAGTTGTTATATGTACCAACAACATTAAATTCTACAAAGAAATTCGATAAACATTACAGTTTAAGTGCATTGTCATAACCATAAACATCAAATTCAGATATTTTAATTTGGTAAATTTATAGAGTATTTTTTCCTTATAAGAATTAAAATATGATTTTTCAGACTACACCCAATCACATATACACATCTTCTGATCAAAGAAATTATTACAAGAAAAAAAAACATATAATATTAGTTTCATAATTTGCAAAAGGTTAACACTAATTAATAATAATGCATTTTCATAAATCTTGCATTTTGGTCACTGCATCCAACTAACGAATGAAATTCAGTTTAGAGGATTGCTTCAAGAAGTACATCCATGAATTCTTGTAGCCAAATTTGGGGAAATGCTAAGATCTAACAAGATATGAATGAACGGTCTATGAGGTTACAACTGGTTTCTGGAGGGCAATACAAATTCAAGATCGTTAGTACATATCTTTCCTACCTGCTTTAATTATTAAATTCAGATCAAACTTATCAAAATGAAATTACAAAAAAAAAAATAAAAAAAAATAATAAATCCAGATATATAACCTAGCAATCAAACAACATATTTTTCATAGAAATAAATATCACAAATCCACAATTTTTACTTTATATAATATTCTTAAGTTATATCTTACCTTTTCATCTTTAATGGTTACTAACACCTCTTTCTATCTTATTGTTGTGACACACATGTATATCAAAAATAAGAGAAATAACTTTAGAGAACGAATGTTGATAGAGTGATCCTTCATTGAAAACACAACAAAATTATTCATAGAGCCGCTAGGATTCTTCTACAAACCGCTAGAAGATCTATATAGTGACAACCAGTGTGACTTCTAGAAATACGATTTTTCATTGATGTTGATAGTCGTTTGTTTGTTTGAGAACATGGTTGTCAGATTATCAACATCGTAAACATCTTACTGGTTGCGTTTTAATTCTTCACGTCCATACATTTTTTTAAAGGATGTCCACTTAGTTGGTGGACTTATTGAAGTGCTTTTATCAAGATTCGAAGCTGGTGTGACGTTATCACCAGTAAACGAAACAACATCTTAAATGTAAAAAATAAATTCATATGTAAATCTAAAAGTTAATTAGATTTTAAAGTTTTTAAAATAATAGATTTAGTTATATTATATTTAAAACCTTCTAATTTAATGTGTCTTGAGATCCGACTTCTGCCAATAAAACATTAAACGAATTGGATTCTGGCGACTACATTTGTAGTACATAGAAATATGTTAGTTGGTCAACTGAAATATAAAAAAATGAAATTTAATACGTGTAATGTTTGTAGTATTCTTCGTAAAAGAATGTTTTCATATCGATGTTAATTTTTTTTTTCCAATTCAACAATGATTGTATTATCAACAATGAAGTTTGAGATTGCATAACCATCAACTTTGTTCTTCAAATTATAATGTGAAATTTGAATTTGAACACAAACTTTTTATCAAAAAGTACACTCCAAGCAAATAGATTAATCTTCATATTACCCTCATAAAAATTAAAAAAAAAAAAAATTGGTTATAAAAATAGATAGACAAAAGGTAAAAAATTAGTTTTATATAAATGAAGTTAATATCGATAACCTCATTAAACTTTTGAAGCAACTCTTGTGCAGTTTTTTCCAGAAGTTTCTTTGTGTCACGATTAAATAACGTAAATGACACCACACCAGTAAAGTCTTGTACTTGAATATTGATTTTGAAACTGAAGTCATTGATATAAACAAATACAGTAATATAAAATTAGAAAATTTAATTAACTAAAGAGTATAATAATATGTATAAAAGAATTATTGAAAAACTTAGAATAAGCTATACGTATTTGTTCATGCAAGTTGAAGTGTAACAATAAAAAACTTTTTCATCTTGCTTTTGGTCTGTTCCACGAGTTTTGTCATCATACATTAAAACGACTTTTATGGCTTTCTCTTGACAAACATTGGTCAGTATATTAAAAAAATTAATGTAAATGATATAATTTTTTTTTCTATAACTAAATGAATGAAACTAATATACTTAAAGTAGATTGATTATTTTTTTTCATGACCTCTCAACATGAATACTATAATAATAAGTAATAAAACCAAAGTAAATACAATAAACTGTAGAAGAAGAAGGAGAACATGATAAAGAAAGAACTTAGAAAAAAATTTATAGATTAAGACTGTTGAAGAAAAACACTCTAAATCATACTACTCGATCCAAAATCGTAAAAAGAACAACTTCAATGTAATCGTATATATAGGTTGTTTTTCAATAATGAAGTCGTCATATTCCAAAAAAAATGGGATCCTAAAATATTATTTTGGAGATTTTCGGTTATTCATCTGGAAAAACTGATATCATTTATATTGAATCAAAGTTTCAAATTAATTGACTTGTTTAATTAATGAGTTTTAAATTCAAAACCATTATCTCAAATTGATTTATTTTACGTGAGATATACCGGAAGATAAATTATAAATAATATTGACTTTATTTTTGACACTTAAATATTTTGCTAATCTAATAGGATTAGATTAGATTTTATAGGTTAATGATCAAATTATTGATATGCTTATTTAATGAGTTTTTTCAAATAAATAAATAAATAAATAAAAACTAAACGGGTTTGAAATTTGAAATCAGAATCTATATATAAAAGAGTTAAATTAGAACAGTATTAATTAGAGATCCTAATATCTCGTATATAGATAGAATAATATGTTGTAATTGATAATGTAATTATTGAATTTAAAGATTCTATAATTATTAAAGATTCTATAATGAAATGTAATTGTGTTTGAATTTTATTTGAAAAATATGATGTCAACAATCTAATCTAATGATGGAAAACATAAGATTGAAATGCAATTAATGGTCATGATTGTTTCATTGGTGAATTATGGGTTCTCTTTTATTAATATTTAGAGATACTATCACATATCATATATGCTAGCATAATTAACTCCAATCCACTAGATTCCCTCCTTGAGCTCTATCTCTGAGCTCTATCTCTAGTTGACCTAATATTGACTACTTCCCTTTTATCACTCTATCATGGTCTTGACCACTTCCCTCCGAGAGGTATATCATGGTCTTACATCATTTTAATTTAACTAGATTCCCTTCAAAAGGTTTATCTCTAGTTAGCATACATTTAACACATAGTCTATATACTAAGTAAGTTCATAAGAACTCACCTGAAAGTGTGATAAGGTAATACCCTCTTCAATGGTTTTTTTCTTTAAATTTAACTAATCTGTCATTATCTATTTAAAATGTTCTATATAATTCTCTCCATTGAGTTAATCATTTTTAAACACACATCCTATATTAAACAACCAACACATCATGTTTGAAAATATTATATAATCATTATATTTATATTTATAAATAAACTGTCACTAAATATTTGAAAATATTATATAATCGTTTTAAAAAACAACCCTAAACCCGACCCTAACTATAGTTCGGGCTTGTCGGGTTAACCCGAATAACACAATTAAAATTTTTGACACTATTAGACCCGACCCTAAATGCGTTATTTTAGTTAGAGTTGTGTTCGGACTTTTTTTTACACCCCTAACGGTACCCCATCAAAACACTATAGGCATGATGTTTCCGTACATCCCCAAGCTTCATCAGAGTAAAAACATGAAGAGAGAAGCACACTCTTTGTCCATTTGATCTACCCTAGCTCGACGTGGTGTAGGGGTGAACATTTGGACCGGATCAAACCGGCTCCTGGATCGAACCGATTTTGCAGAAATTGTTGGACCTTGGACCGGACCTGTTAAGGTTTACCAGGTCGAGGTCCTGTTCTTGGTTTTTGGACATAAAGGTGAACTTTTGAACCGTACAGGCTATTGGGGATTTATACCTGATAGCCTAACACAAAGTCTAGACGCGGTGCCTACTGGTACACAGCCATGCATCCTCCATAGAACGACCCTGCGTGTAGAATCATTTATTATATTACATTGCAGATATAACATTGTTCGATATAATAATCATGTAATTTTTATTTCTGCAACCTTCATTCTAATTGAAAATCGGTTGATTACAAAGTACAACACCAATTTTTCTCTTCACTATATCTTTCCAAATATGCATGCATGCACTCTTGAATCTGCTTTGCCACACCTGCCGATTCATCGACAGTTTCCCTTTTCCCACAATCATGCTCAAACCCCTATTTCGACCCTCCTGGTTGATTTCTCACTCCCGTCTTTACAATTTCACGAAATTCATCGAAATTCTCAAACCCTCAGGCTCGAACACCAGCTGTTGCTGCGATTATCGTTCAAGATTTGCAATTCAATTAAACTATTAAAGATGTTACTGATATGAGCCATATACAAGTTGTCTATGGTGCTGCGATTATACGATTTATGGACTTGAATGGAAACTTTATGATTTGGGTGCTTGAATCGACGTTATGGGTTAATTTGCTGTTTTTGGTGCATTGTGACATTCACTTCGCTATTGTTTGCATCTTGTAATTGCTTCTGCAAAAAAATTAGTCTTCATCCCAATCGAAATTCCCACACTCTTAGTAGCTATTCCAACCCAATACCATTTCTGCAAATAGGACACATTTGGTAGTTGTTAGTTGTAGATCTTGCTAGTTCGTGACACAGCTTAAGGTTTCTTTCTGTGTCATAGTACTTTGAGCCAACCGAATTTGTGCATGTCTATGTGTAATTTGTTTGTGCATTTCTTTGTGACTTGTGAGAAAGTTGTATAGTAAACTTTTTTATTTTTATTTATTTGTTTTTTTTTACTTGTTAATTAGTTGTGACTTGTGAGCAAGTTGTGTAGAGCATAATATAGTCTCAACTATTGGTCCCGGAAGCATGGGCAAAGATTCTAAAAGAAAATATATCTTTAATAGTGGAGCTTTTGCCTTCAGATTCCAGTCTTCATATTGTTAATTGGTATATTAAAAATTATTATTATATATATTTATAATAATTTAGGTTTCCTTTATCATACCACTGAGATTTGGCGTTCTTATACATCTTTTTGAAAGTTCTCCTTATGGAAAAGACAAGCAAACCATTTTGAAAGGATGCACTAATAATTTCAACTCCATGCAGTGTACTTACTCTTTTCACATATCACTCATGCCGTTATGTGAATAGTTATACTATTAAAAGAAAGTAAGATGGAAACTCAAAAGTGCAAGTTGTTGTAGGCTATAATAGGTAATATGATGATATGAAATTTGAACAAAGTGATGAAAATGTTTTTTCTCTACAACTTGAGGGACTGTTTGTGACAAAGAAAGGTGTCATTTACCTAAAAGAATAAGAAAACATTCTCACATTGGTTATGCTGCTTTGAGTTTTTTTAAGTAGTGGATAGGACCAAAAACCGATAGGTGCAAGTAACATAGGTGGGCACTATGGCTTTTTGCGACAGTTATAGGAGCGGTGGTGGAGATGGTGATTGTAGGACCACCCAACTAGCTATTAACGATGCACATCAAAGTAGACAACTTGAAAGGGAGCTAGTCAAACACTATAATTACAACAATATTTTTCAACTTTCACATATATATATATATATATATATATATATATATATATATATATATATATATATATATATATATATATATATATATATTTTATTTCCATTGTGCATATGTGAAAGATAAAACGTGCATAATCAGTAAATCAGGTATACAAGTAGCGTATTAGAAAACTGAAATTATGATTAAAAAATAGTGATGGGTTTTAGGTTATGTCTAGTTAGGTATTAATACTTTACTATTATTATTAGGTAGCCTAATTACTTGTTATTTTGGATGTTACTGCCACATTTCACTTTATAAAGAAGAATATTCTTTGGTTGGGAAGTACTTTTAGGAATATATACTTTGTTAAACTATACTTGCCATTTTATATAATACTTAAGATTCTTTAAAACAGGTCATATAACTAATCCTCGATTTCAATCATTTTCTTGACACATGTTCGTTCATTACCGATATATAATATATTTATGAGCTTAACCACAGAAAATTTTCGAATCAACAAACTTAGAAGCACTAAATCCAAAACAAATAAAAGTGATCTTAATTATAACAGTCTCATCCAAATATAAATCAATTTTCATATATTTTTTTATGTATTCTTACCACCAGAGCAATGTAATGACATACCACATTTTGAGAATACAATTAATTTTTTAGTATTTTGCTCAACAATTTTTTTTCTCATCAATAGATAAATAATGAACAGGTTCTACCAACTAAAACACATAATCAAAGAACTACAACCTAAGTGGATCATCGTAATCACGCTTTCATCCTACAAACTTTAATAAACTCTCGTAGTTACTTACACTGCTAGAAAATCTGGCATCAGACGAATTATCGACAAATTAGCAACAAATAATCGATAGTAATGCACATTTTTCCAACAATGTTAAAACCCATAATTCATAAAATGTCACGCAAGTTTAATAATTCCCTTGAAAAACCGTACCCAAGTGTCCATACTGAGGCCCATAAGATGAGCTTCCGTGAAGTGGTGCCATCATTATACCACCACCATTAGGGTGGCTCCATTGGTACAATGCTTTTTCCATATGGTGGTTTGTGGTGGGGTGGTGGTGGAGGTGAGGTTTTGGTGGTGGTGTTACCATGGTGGTGCATTCACCCGGTTTTGGACATGTGTCATTTTCCGGTAACTTTGTGGGGTCGTTAAGGTGCACTGTGGTGATGTCGTGAATGCTTGACCTTCTTTTATCTTTGCCTCCTGACAACTGGCGAATGAAGTACTTTTGAGCATGACTTGCAACTTGGGTGGGTGTTCTTGTTGTCACAAAATTACGTGAGATATTTCGCCAGTCCCCTTTTCCATACTTTTTTAACCCCAAAAGAAATTGTCTGAAATGAAAATTTTAATTAAATTGAATCAGAGAACTTTTCTGGTAGTTTAAATAAAACATTGTTTTTTTTTCTTGTTAATGTATTGTACATTGAAATATCAACTCAGGTTATAGCATTGTATTTTCGGTATTTTTCTTATTAAGACATTGTACATTGAAAATTGTTTCCAGTTATAACAACGAAAATTGATTTGTATTTGAATGACATTGATATAACTGGAGTACGATTTTCATTGTATAATCTGGTAACATAAAGAAATTAAAATCGTATGCTATAATAAATTTAGCTATGTATTGTAGCTAACTACTTTCATTTTTTTTCTTGTGCAACATTGTAGTTTCAATTTTTTTTTTCTTGTTAAATCATTGTATTTTAAAAAATGTACACAACTATAACAGCGAAAATTGATGAAATTACTATAATCGGGTAGATTTTTCAATATATAAATAACAAACGAAAGTAGGATGCTACACTAAACTAATCGATCAAAATACATCCCTATTTCTTGTATCTAATCCTTTTAAATATCAAATCATTCAGTAGTGGCTCCTTAATTAAACCTTCATTTATCACACATAATCTTAGACTATATTCCGTGACATTCTTATTATTTAGTTAATCTTATGCATTTCTAGAGTACTACCATCCTTAATATTGCATTTGTTACACGACACACCACTCGAAAAGCTTTCTAAGGATATTTTCAGTGATGAGGGTATTTACGTCTTTTGCACAAGCGATACATCAAGAGCAAATCTATGTCCCCACCATCTTGGAGTGGTTTGTCCTATCGAATCAAGCTCAGTCCAATGTAAACCAAACACAGTCCAAAATATACTAAATACAGTTCAATGTACACCAAAACACAGTACAAGAATACGATGCCTAACATAACAAACAGGGCTAAAAGAAAATCAAGTTTAAGATAATTAATATTATAAGTTTACCTGTGTTCTTCTTCTGTCCATGGAATTCCTTTTTTCTTTTCTTGATCAGGAAGCCTACTTCTCTTTCCTCCATGACTATAAAAGTGAGGGTGATTATCAACCACCCATTCAAGTGTCATAGCATTAGCGTCACTACAAGTATACCCAGGCACAACCAAAACCCCTGCTTCAATCTCACTAATATCTTCTTCCAATTTCCTATACTGATGCATCACATCACTCACAGTTTTCCCCGGAATCAAACGCGCCACATTCTGCCACCTGTCGGGGGTTTCTTTATCGAACAGAGCTAATGCATCTTCAAACCGTTTATTCTCTTCCGGGGTCCATTTCGTGTTTTCCGTACCCTCGAAGAACATGGTCGAACCCATGAAATACGAAGATCGAGACACAATTTCATCCATTCTCGAAATAAGATTTAAGTTTGATAAATAAGCATTTAAGTGATGCGCCACGTGAAATAAAAAGGTTTGAAGAATACCTTATAAGTTATAATGAAACGAGAAAAAGGAGAGAATTATAGGAGTAGGGAGAATTGGAGTGAGTGAGCTTAAAGAAGTGAATCCAAGTTTGTCAGCAAGAAAACTGTACTTGATTGAAAGGGGGGGGGGGAGAGATGTGAATTGGGAGATATATAATACCAAAAGGAGGGGGTTTAATTAATGTGAGGTGGTTAGATATGATTGGGTGGTATGTGGTTGTGGGGTATTGTGCTGAAATAAAAGTATTTAATTGGCCAATCAAAAGCTAAAGACAACAATCTGTCATTGGTGAAGCAGATGCACATGGGTTTTATGGTAATTTACACAGAAAGTTGAAAAAGTTTGGCAGTAGTAGTGTTGACATTTAGCTGTGAGGTTTTAGGAATGGTTTTCAATTATTGTGGTCATACCTTTTCTTTCAATGAGAACTTGCCCTCCACTATACCCTTTATATCTCAACAAAATTCACGAATCATGTTGCTTGTGATACTCTATAATTTCATTTCTATCCATATTATATCACATAAAAAAACTATTAATAATCTCAATTTTATAACTATCTCGAATACACAATCGTTTGTAACATAATGGTTTTAGAAAACTTATGTAGCATATAAGATCCTAGTTCAGATTAGAATTCATTAAAAGATTTATATAAGCCATACGTATATGTCCTTTTGTTCACTACTTTTGATGTTAAAATAACATAGTGGTCCAAATCGACCACCTTAGATGAATGATTAATAGTTTCTTCCTTCATGCTTGTTTGACTAAGTATTACAACTTCTGACCTGTTTATTCAGTGAAAAAAAAGGACATATATCATGAGCTCACTGACTCTTTCTGTTGATAGGATCCTAAGCTAATTTTATAGCATCAAGCTAGTGTTAGATCCATTTTACCCATAAATGTAAGGATGAAAGCAATGAGGTCACTTTTCTTACCAAGGCTGAGGGTATAGTGGTGTACCTCTTTTTTTTATCTTTCACTTTCTTTCTCCTCTCAAAACCATCTCTTTCTCCCCTCATTTTCAAAATCATCTCTTTTTCCACCCATTTTGTATTTTAGCTATAACTTTTTTTTCTTTGAAAAAAAATCTGAAAAAACAAAAGTTTTTAAAATTTAATTCTCTACAAAACTAGCACACTCATGAAAAATTGAAAAAAAAAAGTTATTTTTTTATTGTTTTATTAAAAAAAAAAAAAAAAAAAAAAAAAAAAAAAAACCAGAAAACAAATTCTCCAAAAATCATAAAAATTTAAGGATACTTCTATTCAATATATAAGTGACTTTGTAAAAAGAATTTTTCAAAAATAAGTTTTTAAAGTATTTATTTTCAATTTTAAGAAACATAATTTTAAAAAAATATATTGAACATAATATGATCCAAAATGTGACAATTCAAAATATTTACGATTCAAAAAAAACTTTTGATTCAACTTATTTATGATCCTTAATTTGTTATGATCTCAAAATACTTAGATTCAAATATTTTATAATCATTAATGATATCTTTTATTATTCAAAACTAAATGATTCAAAATATATAATGATCCATAATTTTTTTGAACAAGAACTATATTTAATTGAATATGTTATTGATCCAATATTATATGATTCAAAAATATTCGATTCAAAATAATTTGATTCAAAATTTATGAACCAAAAATAATACAATTCAAAAACGATATGAACGGAAAATATTATGATCCTTAATGTTCTTCTTAATTAAAATTTTATAATTGTTAAACATTAAAAACTTAAATCGATATTTAGTTTAAAAATCAAAACACAAAAAATCAATAAGTAAAAAACAAATATAAATAAAAATACTAGTACCTTTAATTATGTAGTAAAGATATTAAAAAATTAAAAAAAAATGAAAAATGAAAAATGAAAATCGAGCAAATATCTAATTATTTTTTTTTTGAATTTTTTAGCAAAAACTATATATATATATATATATATATATATATATATATATATATATATATATATATATATATATATATATATATATATATATATATAACGAAAATAAATAATAAAACTCACATAAATGACGTTCCATGACTTTTGCCGCACGTGATTAAATTATCGAGTCCGTATTAGTTACCACGGACATGGGTCACATGCAAACGCACCACGACAAAGTATATTGAGTTTGACGTTTGTACCATTGACGAAATAGTGATGGAAAATTGTCCTCACCATTTTTTAAGTCATCATCAGAACCGGACCCTATATATATATATATATATATATATATATATATATATATATATATATATATATATATATATATATATATATAGAGAGAGAGAGAGAGAGAGAGAGAGAGAGACAAGTAGGTTCAAACAAAAACAAAAATATTTTGCGAAAACACGAAAAAAGACTTTATCTTATAAAAAATCAAATATATGTACTTTACAAATTAAATTTATTAGCAAGATAATAAGTTTACATGGGAGGATGTTATGGTACTATAGATTTAATGGTGCTTTTAACAACCGTTTAACTCTTTTTTTAACGTTCTTAACCACTTTTAAATTCAAGCTTTCATAATTAAAAAATCAAAAAAACATATTTTCCTAATATGAAATAATTTCTCATGTATCATTTATTTTTATCGTGTAATTCAAAATTTGGTTGAATTATTGTCTAAAATATATGGTTGATGTGACACAATATCATGGGTTTTTCTTGATTTTACGTTTTCGCAAATTATTTTGTATTTTCGCATGAACCTCCCCTATATATATATATATATATATATATATATATATATATATATATATATATATATATATAAAAGACCAATCTTATACTCTTTTTGTATAGATTAAAAACCATAAATTTTAATATATTTTTGTAATTTGTTAGTATGTATATACTTGCGGTTGCCCAATCTATAGAGGAAAGAAACGCGTGAAAGATATATGTTATGGGAACTACTGCACTCATGATGTGGTGCTCCTAAGTGTAGTTCAACAAACTGCATAAAACGGGATGTAGTATATTGTATGGCCTAATGTAACAACATTTCACTTTTTATCCGTTTAATAAAAAAATTATTTCATTTTTAACCAATTTATGAAACTAAGTTTCAGTTTTTTCTTATAACCTATATGAATTATAATGTTAAGAGTATGAATATATGTTCCCCTAACAAATACTCTCTTGCATTGACTAAAGAGTAAATTACACGAATAGTCCCAATAGTTTAGGATAATTTGTGCTTTTTGGTCCCTAACTTATTTTTTTAATTCGGAAGATTTCTACTGTTTGTTTTTTACATGTTTGGTCCATTTCTTACCTAAAAAGACTATTTTGCCTTTGATTTTTTGATTTAGTTAAATAAAGACACCCCCAATCACACCCCCTTACTTTACCTTACCTATCTGATCATTTTTTTTCCTATTTAAATAATAGTTTTTTTAGGTAAGATAGGGACCAAACATGTAACAAAAATAAATAATAGAGACCAAACACGTAACAAAAACAAATAGTAAGGAACTTCTGAGTTAAAAAAATAAATTATAGACCAAGCGCGCAAATTACTCCAAATCATAAGTACCGTTCGTGTAATTTACTCTTGCATAAACTTGGAGAATTTTAAAATATTCATTTTGATAATACCTGTTGTTGAGTTCAGAACAATTATTGTAATTTGTTGATTGCATTTTACAAAAAAAAAAAAAAGTTTGATCGAATATATATATATATATATATATATATATATATATATATATATATATATATATATATATATATATATATATATAACTAAATTTAAATGTTTTTAACAATTATTATATGCATTTTTGCATCAATAAGAATTGAGAAAATAATAAATTATTAATTAAATAATTTAACGGTATTATAGTAATCTTGATATATTTAATTATGGTAGATAATTAATATAACAAAACAATAATGGTAATTACACATTATTAATATTTAATTAATTAGGGAATAAAATAATATCCTATATTTAGCACAACAATAAAAAAATATAAAATCATCTCCTTCTAAACCTACAACCAATTTTCTTTTCCATTATGATCCAACCTCATCGTCGGCATCCTTCTCTGTCAACCACAACCATTGTTACTGGTCGCTAGAAGGCATCTTCCGCCTGGTTCTCCGACACACAAGCAATCGACGTATGGCGAGGCTTATCTCTGCATCTTTTATTGCTCTTTTTAGGTTTATTTTGATCACATCGTATATGTTCTCTTCTTCTACCAGCGCCATCAAAGTAATACCACCATATTTTCCTTGCTGTGAGCACCATCGGCCACTGCCACCTTTGCTTTTGTTAATCCTGAGTACGAGATAAGAAGATAAGTAAAAAGAGATACATATATAAATCAAGATGGAAAAAATTAGATTTTTCCAATGTTTACTCTGCCCGATTGATTTTTACAGGAACTAAAATTAGATTTTTGCAATCCTATTATGCTTTCATGGTTTTCTAATTCAACATTGATAGAAAAAAAATCGGGTGGTTCCTTATTATTGGACAAGGTGAATACTGTATTTGAGATATTTTGTATTTAAAAATGTGAAAACTTTTTTATGCTAATCATTATAGTGGAATTGTTCTTTTTTATGAGAATTTCTAAGACGAAACGATATGGGTACAAACGAGAACTAATGCCGGTGACGTGACATGCCTTAACGGCGTCGTAACGGGGGGAATCTCGTTATGGTGGATCTTGTGGTAACTAGAACGAGATAAAACAAGAAGGATGATTGGCTATCTCCTTCATCAACCAATCAAATAATTTTCTCTATTTTCTCTCTCTACCTCTTAACAAGATATAACATCTGGAATATCATTTCCCCCTTGGTATTATGGTGGTGTTATGGATGAGGTGGCACAAATTTGGTGTTACATTCCATTGCCCACACTAAATGCTCTAAAGCTATTTGATTATATTGATGCAATCTTATTTAGGAATATTTTATTCACTTTGCAATGTTATTTGATTTTATTACAATGTTTGTTTCTTAAATCCAATTGCCGCACAATAAAAAAATTTCCTACCTGCAACTATAAATTAGTTTGTATTATAACCATGCAGTATGTATTTAGTCAGAATTAATAATAACACATTTTTATGTAATATT